GGCTAGTGGCTAAGGGTTATACCCAAAAGGAGGGAGTTGACTATGAGGAAACTTTATCGTCAGTAGCTATGCTTAAGTCCATCTGGATACTCCTGGCAATTGCAGCATATTTTGACTATGAGATATGGCAGATGGATGTCAAGACAGCTTTTTTGAATGGCTATCTTGAGGAAACCATCTATATGGATCAACCAGAGGGTTACATAGAGGAAGGCCAATAGCAGAAAGTCTGCAAACTGCAGATGTCCATTTATGGACTGAAGCAGGCTTCTAGATCATGGAACATCAGGTTTGATGAGGCTATAAAGTCTTATGGATTTGATCAAAACATTGATGAACCATGCGTCTACAAGTACAAGAAAGAAGAGAAAGTGGTCTTTTTAATTCTTTACGTCGATGACATCCTACTCATTGGGAATTATGTGGGATTGATGACAGATGTAAAGGAGTGGTTAGCCAACCAATTCCAAATGAAAGATTTGGGAGAGGCAAGCTATGTTCTTGGGATTAAGATTATTCGAGATTGCAAGAAAAAGCTTTTGGCGTTATCACATGCATCTTATATAGACAAAGTGTTGTCTAGGTATTCGATGCAGAACTCCAAGAAAAGGAATTTGCCTTCCAGACATGGTATTCATCTTTCTAAGGAGCAATGTCCAAAGACTCCACAACAGGAAGAAGATATGAGACGGTATCCCTATGCTTCGGCCGTGAGAAGCCTTATGTATGACATGTTGTGTACAAGACTAGATATCTACTATGCAGTGGGAATGGTCAGTCGCTACCAGTCTAACCCAGGATTAAATCATTGGGTTGCAGTAAAGTGTATTCTCAAGTATCTTAGGAGAACGAGAAACTATATGTTGATATATTTTGGAGAAGATCTGTCTCTCACTTGATACACGGATTCTGATTTCTAATCGGATAGAGATAGTCGACGGTCGACATCTGGATCTATGTTCACTCTTAATGGAGGAGCCATGGTATGGAGAAGTGTAAAGCAAAAGTGTGTTGCTAACTCTACCATGGAAGCTGAATACGTTGTAGCTTGTGAAGCCGCAAAAGAAGCTACATGGCTCAAGAAGTTCTTAACTGATCTGGAAATTGTTCCAGATATGGATAAGCCAATTAAGCCCTACTGTGACAACAGTGGAGCGGTGGCTAATTCAAAGGAACCT